TCAATTTTAACTCTGGCAGCTGCAGAAGTTTGTTAAGATAGTTTTTGTGATGGTGCCCAATAAAATCTGTCACACAAACAGTAACTTGGCGAGACTGGAACAAACATCTCGCGAAAAATACCTTTGAAAATGTGCTGACACTCTAACATATCGAGTAAGAAATACTAAACCACCTAACAGTATAACCGCCCAGTTGGGCACGGCAGTTTGTACCCCGTATTAAATGTGGTCTTCAAATAAGTTGTAAGGGGTACCTGTTCTGTTGTTCCAACTCCGATTTTAACCTTCGATCAAACCCAACACAAACTCGACCAATAACGCCAATCGTAACCGAAGTGCCCTTAGAAGTTAAGGTGATAATGCCTGTATGATGAAAGTGTACTCATTCTCGAGTCCTGCCGATTTCTTTAGAGGAGGCTCCTCAGTGCATCTACTAAACACAAATCACCGAGCCATCTTGCTCACCAAAATTCACCATGTTATTCTAGAAAGCATGGTATCCAGGACCTTGATGATTTTGCTTGCTCCAAGAAAAGCATTATCTAAAAGTACACATGACAATATTTAATGCTGGCCTCACCAACTTTTCTCAAAAGATCTAAGACAAAACAAGTCCGGTGTATAGTTAATTGGAAATTTAAACAGGAGTGTTCGCCCATTGTATTTTCAAAAATTGTTTGACAGTCTACGAAATTCCAATGTTCTCAGAAAAAACATCATCATGCTTTTCCGCGTAGGCATTTCAGTGGAACTAGAGAACGTACTTTTTCCCCGAATACCTTAAAGTAATTGCCCTGATTTCCTAACTATGGTCCTTTCTGACTGACAGTAGCTTCCCTATCTAATAAATGTCAACAGTTATTCTAAAAAATGTGTTTTAGATTCGGACAACTTGCGTAAGTAGGATTGCAGTATCGATTACTGTACAATCGAATCGCAAGATGTCTTAGTCACGACAGAATGTCGGCTTTTGAACGAGATTTTTTGTGACTGCCTGCAAAAGTTATGCTCCATAGAAAATGGCTACCAAAAAAAGTTGTCTTTTTCTCATTGAATTACAGCGCGCTCCTAAAAAAACTCTAAAGTGGAAATGCCGACAAATACCCTCTAGTGTCCTCGGTTAGTAGCTAATTATTACCTGTTTCAATTTTATACGTGAAGAAATGGTGTCTTCTAGTGCTACAGTTTTCGAATTGCCCCATAATATTTAACCGTACTAGCCGTTTAAATTGAATTCAAAGTTTCCAAACTGCATCCTGTATATATATTGTCTCAAAAAGAGAAACATTTCTCTACGGTTTGAGGAAGACGTAAAATTGTTCCCTTTAAACTTTACAGTAAATTTGACGGCTGGGATGTATCATAAATGACAGGTTTGCGGTGGCAACAAATTTCATATTTGGAAACTGTTTTAAAACCGTATATGCTAATGCTTCCTGTTTCTGTCTCTGATGATTAATCCGCGATGTATCTCGATACTTCAGGTGAATAAAAGTGTTGTCCCAGTAGGACGGATTTTTTTCAACTATAAAATTGGAAGGTGTAATTTGCTTACTAACGAGGCCGAGAAATAATATTTTTGCGCATCTTATTTTATTAAAAATATATTTTAATTTATAAAAGCATGGAAAATAAAGGAAAATATGCTTACTTTTTTAGTAGCTATGTTGTGCAGATTACAAATTATGTAGACATTTAGAAATAAGCTCTTTCAAAAGCCGACATGCTGACATGTTTGAGATTCGATTGTATGGTAATCACTACTACAGTAGACGCCACGGATCACGCAACATTTCGAAATAGGCGAAATATTAATACTCTCTCGCTAATCGGTATTGACTCAGGTTGTGATACTGATTATCGTGT